GAAATGATCAATAAATAAAAAAAGTAAAAGGTATTTGTTGATTCAGCCTTAAAAATATTGTTGACGTTATTATAAAAAATCGTGGCTATTTAGATTAAACGTGATTGTGTTTACAACATAAAAACAAACCAATCTAACTATAGTTTGTTTTGGGACATGAAAAAAAAAGGTCAAGTCCAGCTCCTATAGATATTTGGCCATCCTCCTTTCTCAATGACAAAGTTAAAAAACAAACTTCATGAATGGCTTTTACTTAACCGCTAATGAGTATCTTGATCACAAAAATGAAAACAAATTACATATTTAAATATCTCTATCTAAATTGCTTGAATTTTTTGCTGTGAGTTAATAAAAGACTTCGATAGTTACAGAATAATTATTAGTTATTTTTACTGTTTTTACATATGAACATTTATATTTTCGACATTTGTAAACGATTGAGTGCCATTGTTTTTAGAATAATTAAGTAATCTTTTGACATTTGTTTTATTATCAATTGGACATTTTTATATTATGTTAAGTGCAATTTTTTTTACAATTATATATAGTGCATTAGGGTAAGATCGGTGATGGGGTAAGACCGTAAAATTCAAATTTCAATATTTTTGAAAGCTAGCAATATGGTACAAGACTCCATTTTGTTCTGCCCCGACCCCAAGTTTCAGCCAGTCGCTCCGAGAAGTAGGGCGTATGCTGCGCATTATTTTATAAAACAAGGTAATTTTTGTATTTTTTCGTCCGTCCGGTCTTCCCATATCACTTTTATTTGCGATTTTTAGCGACGTCCGGTCGTTTTCCCTTGATGGCCAATTCTTCATCATGCATGTAAAAAATTATGCCTTGTCTTCGCACACGTTTTAAGCAGAAACTGTTGAGTTTTGAAAAAAGCTTCTTATAGCTAAATTACGTGTAACTATTAACGATTTGCGCCATGTTGATGTCGAGAAAATATAGTTTTTGCCCGACTCTTTTAACTAGTCGAAAATTGTCCGGTATTACCTCAACTCACCTTAATTGTAAAAAAATGTTGATATATATTTAGTCAAAATTTGCACGCCTCGATAAGTTAGAATGTATCGGAACTTTTGTTTTAATAATACTTTTGTAATATCTACCGCTACATTCTATTAAAATAAATAATTGTGAATTATAAAATATCTATCATAATTTATTATATAATTATTAGTAACAATAGGATACCCATTACTGAGAGGAGGCCTCCTCCATCCTTTTCCATGAGGTTTCCATCTGAAGCTAGCCTGGTCTACGTTGCTCCTGCAACCTCCACAATTTCGCGGACGCGCGGGTGCGACGAAATTGTAGTAATTCAGTTTGTCGTATCGCGCAGGTATATATGAAACACCCGCTCAGTCCGTCTTCCATCATTGGCTCTTGCCATAATATGTCCTACCCATCTCCGCTTCAGATGTCTGCGATATTTCTTCTCTTTCGAATATCACTGTTTCTATGTCGGTGTCTTAGTTTGATATTAAGCATGCGTTCCGTTGCTCGTTGGAAAACATGTAGTTTAGGTATCTGGGGGCACGGCAGTGCCCCCGCCAAGTCGAGAGTCGAAAAAAGCGGCACGGCCGTACCATACCTTTCTCGAAGCAATTCAGGCCATTTTCGACCCCCTATAACTTCGTAGTGGATAAAACTGGAAGCCTTAATTTTCAATAACCAAGTAGGCATTATATAAAAATGGTATATTTCAAATTTCATTCAATTTAAACTAGTAGTTTAAGAATTATAACTAGTCAAAGTTTCTTAATTTTGTCATTCACTGACTGACCGATCATCAAAAATCTAAGACACTTCTAGCAGGCATAGAAGCTTCAAATTTAGAATACAATTAATGTGTAGTGTATAAATCTAGGAATAACTAAAATATTTTTTAATTTCTATATATTTAAAACATAAAAGATTTTTAACATTGATATGGTCACTATAAAATGTTGTTTGGTTAGGTAATTACGTAATAATTTAACCCTTAACCAGGCAAAGTACTATAGAGGACCACTTAAGTTTTTGGGTGATTTTAAAGGGCAAGATGTAGTTAAGGACCACAATATGTCAAACAGTCATAGACAATAATATTTTTTATGACTTGAAAGCAGTTGGAGTAAAGTGGAACGCACCTAAAATACAAAAAAAAGAAATTTGATATTTCCATAGATAAATAAATATGTAGCAAGCTAGACATTTCTCACCATTTCTCACTTTTGATGAATAGATGACATGATTGTTTTTGTGTGTTAGTTGCAGTAAATTGTAGAAAATGCCTAAAAAAATCCAGTAAGTATTGTTTGGTGTTCAGTAACATATATTTGAGAGTTTTTACATAATCTAAATGTATTTTGTTTATCGTTAACATTATTTTTATTATTGTAACGATTGCTTGAATTATGTGGTCCATATATCGCACCTTTAAAGTAAAACCGTTACTAAATGAAAATTTTCATGAATTGAGTTATCAATGCCATCTATGTAAAATATACGTAAACTACAACATAAACTTGTCATTTTTGTAAAATATTGTATTTTACGCCACCTAGCGGTAAATTAAACCGTTACTAAACCGAGTTATGATCGGCTCGCGAAATACAATATTGTGTCTATATCAGTAAGAACATGTTCGTAGAAGAGTGATAACGGAAGTTTAAAGTAACAGTGTTATTATTTGGATAAACACGGCTGTATGTCACAGAAAAGGTAAGTTGTTAATTTGTTTTAATAGGAAAAGTGTTTCAATTTGTTTAAACACAGTTTTTGTGTTATGAAATTACGCAATTCATAATAAAATTTCATTGATAAAATGTTACTGTTTGTATAGTCACAGTTTGCTTTTTATTTTTTAGGTATTATTCCAATAACGTTTATCTATAAAGAGTAACCATTTGTTTAGTTACAGTTTTACAATAAGTAAACAGTAAATTAAATCATATCCTTATTTACAATAGTGGGACATTTATGTTAGTCACAGTTTATTTCTCTACGCAACGTAAGTGTGCATAAAAATTTTAGAAGTAAAATATTACATTTTGTTTAAATTGCATCTAGTATTAAAATTTACTTCATAGTTTATGAAACAGTTAATAATAACGTTACACATTTCTTTTAGTATCACTTTACTACTAATATAAATAAAAGTTGTACTTAAAGTAACTAAATTTATTTAAGTTAAAATGTCAATTATAATAATTATACGATAATAATAATAAAACCACTTGCTTCAGGTCATGGCGCATTTACGGAACCCACGTTTGTCACGCATTTTGGAGGCTATGGAATCTAAGAAAGATTCCGTAAGTACTGAAAACCCCAAAGTAATATCCATGGACGACCTGGATTATAATTTTACACGCGATGCAAATCCGATTACTGTCGATACTTGTAGATCTCCTTCTTTATTACAAGAACAAGCACTACCTCAGTCCGTTAGTCATACTATGGAAGCTGATGTTCAACCAGTTGATGACGGAATACCAAATCCATATTTGAGCGGTACTGGTTTTCAAGAATTAACTCCAGAAGAAGACCTTACCAGACCAGGTCCTAGCAGTAGAGCAAGATCCAATTCAACTAGCTCGAAATCATCTTCAAGTTCATCATCTTCAAGTTCATCATCAACAAGTTCATCTTCATCATCTTCATCTAGTGCGTCTGAATCGGGTAAGGACTTTTCCCCTGATGAGGTAGATTGTGATGCTGATTATGTACCAGCAACCCCACCTAGGCGTGTATTATTTAGCCCAACTCCTCAAAGTATGAGTTATGGGTACTCATAAAACAAGAACGACTTCTTATCACCCGCAATCTGATGGAATGGTGGAACGATTTAATCAGACATTGGAGAGGTACCTAGCAAAAGTTGTAGACAATCGGCAACGAGATTGGGACAAGCACATACAACCGTTTTTGTTGTCGTATCGAAGTTCTGTTCACGAAAGTACAACAGTGACACCAAACTTTGGAACTTTTGGACTTTCGCAAACTTTGGAAGAGAATTACGGCTGCCTGCAGACCTGATCACCGGGATACCACCTGATGCTCCACGCAGTATAACCGATTATGCAAATTACTTGCGGAAAAAAATGAATGACGTTTATGAGCACGTCAGACAATCGGGCCAGCAAATGTCTGAAAAGATGAAAACCCGGTATGACCGCAAAATGAACAACAAAGGGTTCGACGAAGGTTCACTTGTGTAGTTGCACAATCCAGTCCGCAGCAAAGGGAAATCTCCTAAGCTTCAAGCTAAATGGGACGGCCCGTACCGGATTGTAACCAGGATCAACGATGTGACCTACCGGATACAGAAAGGCGCAAGAGGGACTCCTAAGATCGTCCATGTGGATCGCTTGGCGCGTTATTATGGGACCGATAATGCTCGGGACGAGCATGTCTTAGGAGGGGGCAGTGTTGCATGAATAAGTCAACTAGCGCCATCCAGTGTCAGGAACGAGAGCGAGGGGAGCATTGAGAAAATGACATCACAAATCACCAACCGACAGCGCCTAGTCGAAACTCGAACGCTCGGTACCTTGCGCGTGTTTACTTGAACATTCTGGATATTTCTTTGCTAATTTAAATAAGAAGGCGCTGCAAGATGCGATGAGAGCAGTGTTGATTTGGCGAAACAAGCGAAGCTTCGGAGCGGAATAAAGTGAGTAATTTTATCGGCAATTTTTATTGTCACGAACCTCAAGCTCGTAACAATAGTATCTCTGTACAACTAGTTGAAGAAAATAATTTGGGTCCTCCAGAACAAAACAGAACTCCGAACAAACGAAGACGTAAAGGATTTCCAAAAGCATCCGTGAGGCAAGATGCTAAAAGACTTCGTAATAGTGGGCAACAATATACTTCTGTGTCCCCAGTTAAAAAAAGTCATGCCAAAGAAGCAGATAGGACCCCCATGTGGGGAAAAATGTAGACTAAAGTGCAGCGAATTGATCAAACAGGAAGGCAGAGAAATTATTTTTGACAATTATTGGAAAATGGGAGATTTATCTAGACAAAGAGATTATATTGCAAAGTGTATTAAGGTTATTACACCTAAGTATCAATATAAAGTACATAATAGCAATAGAGGACCTAAACATTCATTTTCATTCGAGATTAACAATATTAAGCATCGTATCTGTAAAACATTCTTCAAGAACACGTTGGCCATTAAGAATCGACCTATTGCATCTGTAATAGCAAAAAAGAACCAAGCGGGAACGATTGAAGAAGAAAAAATGGGTAAACATGGAAAACAGTACAAAATAAGCTCAGATATAATTAAAGGAATAAAAAACCACATAGACTCAATCCCAAGAATTGAATCTCATTATGTAAGACAACAAACGACTCGTGAATTTATTGATTGGGGTAAAAACCTTACAGATCTTTATACCGACTACCAAACACAATGCTTGAGTGATGGTGTTGAAGCTGCTAAAATTCATACATATAGAAAAGTGTTTAATGAAGATTACAACATTGGCTTCACACACCTAAAAAAGACCAGTGCGAACTATGCATTAGCTTTAAAAACGCTGTTGATAAAACAATAGAATTACAAAACAGATACGACCAACACCAGCTTGAAAAGGAATTATGTCGCCAGGAAAAGTCAAATGACAAAACAATGGTTAAGGAAAACTACATTGTTGCCTGTTATGACCTCCAGGCAGTGTTGCCTCTTCCGAAAGGAGATGTTTCTACTTTATATTACAAGTGTAAGCTCAATATTTGTAATTTTACTATAATGAATTAGCGAAAGACTATTGTGATTGTTTTGTCTGGAGCGAGATAATAACGAAATAGCAACGTGTGTTTGGAAGTATTTGACAAAGAGGGCATCAGAAATAAATAACAATAATTTACGAATCACATTTTATTCTGATAATTGCTGTGGTCAGCAAAAGAATAAGTTTATGTTTTCTATGTATTTATATGCCTTATCTGTTCTTAAAATTAAGTCTATTACGCACAAATATTTAATTAGTGGGCAACAAAACGAAAACGATTCTGTTCACTCTGTGATAGAAAAAGCCGTTAAAAAGTACTTACGTTCTGGTCCTGTGTACACACCAGATCAATACGTGACCATTATCAGAACTGCACGAAAGAAAGGAAATCCTTACAATGTTACCGAAATGTGCTATTCAGACTTTGTTGATATAAAAAATCTTACAGAAATATGCGGTGCTCAATTTTCAAAAAATACTGAAGGCAGAACAGTTAAAATGAGTGACATTAAAATAATGAAATTTGAAAAACATCAAGATTTCAACCACGTTAGCATTTATTATAAAACTTCCTACACAGATACAGATTTCAAAGAAATACAATTCCGTAACAATCGTTCGTCTCGAACACGTACTAGCACTGATCTTCAAGATTTCCAGTTGAAGCCTTTATATCAGTCTAGATTAAAATTAAGTGATAGAAAAAACAGCGACCTAAAGAGTTTAATTAACAGTAATATAATACCACAGAGTTACGCATTGTCATATTACAACAGCATCTTGTTTTAGCAATACTAAAACGAGATGTTATTGTAATAAGACAACTTATTATTGATGATTATTGATTTAGAAAAACAATGAGTATAACATTATTTTTAAGTTTTTTACGAGATTAATTTTTTATATAACATTTTATATGGCAATAGGTTTGCCTCATTATTCTAATTAAGTGATACCTACAAGTCAACATAACTTTGATTAGCCCTGAGTAGCTTTCGTGGATAGGGAAATAATGCTGTGATTGTAACTTTGTTAAATTAAGTATAATGCTATTTCCAATTGGTTTGTTCCTCGTCAAACTGATTGTAAATATAATAAGATACATAACAAGTAGTTAATATAGTAAGATACGTACATGCTGTGATTTAAAGGTACAAATTTCTCAAGACTGATTGATAAATAACTATGTCAAATGATTGTATGGATCTCTCTTTAAATTATAATAAAACACTATTAATTTTGGAATATTTTTTTATTTGGTAATATTATAACACCACAGCAAATGCCAACTTTATGATTTTTAATTTAAATGTTAAATAATATTATTGTATTTATGAAATTTTAATAGTTTTCTATTTAGTAACATCAGTTGCACTGTAATTTCATAGTAATATACCATAATGAACAAATTATTAATGGTAAAGTGTTACTATAATAATATAAATCAAAATAAATAATACTGTAAATGAAAAAAAATTACTTTCGTAAATCACGTGTCATAATGTAAACAGAGATCTATAATAAGACCTCATTAAATGTCTTAAAGAACCCTACACTCAGATTTTATTGACAAAAAATGGTGACTTTTTTCTATTATTGGCTCTCCTGTAAAATTTTATAATTTCGTTTAGTAACGGTTTTACTTTAAAGGTGCGATATGATAATTGTCCATTACACACCTCGATTTGTAAGACATATTTTGATGAGTTTTCTTGTTTTTTAGCCCATGCCAGATATTGAAGCTCATCTTTAAAGCCTGTTGTCATCAGAAGGTGAGGATACTGACGATGATGAATTAAATGAAGATTTTTCTGACATCTTGAACAAAAGGCTAGATAGGATACAAAATATCACTACTGAAGAGCTCCTAGATATACTTGGTAATAAAAACGAAGCATCATCTCATTCCTCTGCTGAGCCTGTAACTGAAACAGGTCAAGAAAGTCAAATAATACAACCTGAGGACCTGGGGATTGAAGGTTATAATACACCAACTAGCACAGTTGCCAATATTTTTGTTGCACCACCATCTCCAGTTCAACCATCATATCCAGTTCAACCACCATCTCCAGTTCAAGCATTATCTCCTCCAGCCGGGCTAGCATGAGCAGGGGATAAAAATTTTATCCACCGATTATATCCACTGACAAGGGATAAAATTGTCTTATCCCTATGTCAAAGCTTTATCCACCCTGTGAGCATGGGCCTATGGTGGATATAATATCGACAGTAGATAAACTTATCCCCGCTCATAGATAATATACGATAGCAAAGATGTTTTATAAAAAATCTTTGTACGATAGTATAAAGCTATAAACAATACTAGCTATAAACTTCTTTTAAGATTAAGTAGATTTACATTAACTTATATTTTCTTTTACCTTTTGTTTATTATATTGCTAAACTGTTAATAATTTTTGTTAAACAATATGTCATTTATAATATTTGTTATATTTATTTTAAGCATATTTCTGCCTTGTTTTTATTTTTTCTATTATTCTAATTCTTTCTTTATTTTCTTTTGTATAATATTTAAGTTAAGTATACATTGCTTGTATCAAATTGCAGGTATTACTTCGCTTGTGATAGCATTTATTAAAAAATGTGTCTAGAATTAAGCCAATTGCGAAACTGGACAATACAGACCCTTTGGAGGTGGTGTAACCTCTTGAGGAAATTAAAAAAAAATTATCCCCGCAATTACTGCCATTATAAGAAAATTACAAAATTGATGTCTACTCTAAGTCACAAAGATTTAATTTTAATTGAAAATGATGAAGCATGAAGAATAAAAATGTAATGATTTCAAACAAAACAAGGAATAAATAATTTTATAATCATGAGTATAGTATATTTAGCAAGCTTTGCTAAAGAATTAACATATTTCTTAATTTAAACCTTTGAATTGTAACTTTATTAAGTTTGATAACTTTATTTTAAAATGTTATAATACTTACCTAAAATATAGTATAGACCGATTCTATTATCATTAAATTTGACTTGACCATGGACTCGCCTTGGGTATTGTTGACACAACCTATGTAATTAAATCATGGCATTGAGCTATTGTGACTTTTTTGGACAAGGTGGTTGTAATAGATGCTTACTTCAATATGCACTGGTAGTCCATCCACAGAATTAATAGGCTTTAAAGTCTCATAGAGTTCTTTACATCATTCATTGCATCCGAAACTGGTGTAGAAATTCGTTGTCGGAGAATTCCAATAGATTAAGTATTCTGATCACGTATCAATCGCTGATGTAATTCTCTTTCTTGTTTTTCAATTTCTGACACTAAAATGTAGTTGCAATAGGCTCGAGACATCTTTTTTGTATTAAAATGGTTTGAAGATAAACTTAAACCCACATCTGCGAAAGAGGATAAAATTGTCCCTTTCAAATGTCAAAAAGGGATAATTTTTTCTCTTTCCCTTGGCCCCATGCTACGGACCGGGGAGATATATATCCACTCGTTATGTCAAACGGGGATATACTATAGAGATAAGATAATTTTATCTCTTGTCAGTGGATATAATCGGGGGATATAATTTTTGTCTCTTGCCCATGCTCGCATGGTGGATAAAACTAAGCAAGGGATAAAAATTATATCCTCTCTCTGGGGATATATTCTCTCCGGCTCATGCTAGCCTGGCAGTTAGTGATATTCTCACCTATACTCAATTGATCCAAAAAGACAGATCTTGGTCAACTAATATTGAAAATCAAGCATTTCCAGTCTTTGAAACTAAAGCTAGACCTACCACTTCTTACAATAACAGACATTTGCCTATAGATTACTTTGAACACATGTTTACATCAAACATAATTGATATTCTGGTGGAAAATACTAATCTATATGCTATAAAAAATCAATCAAGAAACTGGGTAGAAACAAATAATGAAGAAATGCGTGCCTTGCTTGGTGTTATTATAATGATGGGCTTAAATCCATTGACTGATGTTGAGCTTTATTGGTCCACTGATGATTTTTACAATAACCCAGTAATTAGCTGAGTGATGACCCTAAGACATTACAAAAAACTAATAGAAAACTTTCATGTGAACAACCCAAACACTGAATTGGAATTCAAATTATGATAAATTAGCTAAAATCAGACCATTGATTGGAATTCTAAACCATAATATTTCAAGCATGTGTACTCAATCTTCATCACAAAGCATAGATGAGAGCATGGTAAAGTTCAAGGGTCGAAGTAGCATGAAACAGTACATGCCAAACAAACCAATCAAACGAGGGTACAAAATTTGGGCACGCAGTGACTCTGAGTCTGGATACCTATACTCATTTGATATTTACACAGGTAAGGCCACTTCAACAGATGAAAATTCTGGTGGTCTTAGATACAGAGTGGTAATGGATCTATGTAGAAATGTCCAACCATACACATTAATGGCATTGGATAATTTTTTTACTAGTTTGCCTCTTCTGGAGATGCTCCATCACAAAAATATATATGCTGTGGGTGCAATCCGAGTCAACCGAAAAGGTCTTCCAGCTGAAATAACTGTAAAGAGGGGAACAAGAGACCAAATGTGCGTAAAACCAGGAGAATTTATGTTTCAACATGCTGCTCCTATATCAGTAATCAAATGGATGGATATTAAAGATGTGTATGTTGCTACTACTGCATTTGATCCAAAAAGGGTACAAATCATGAAACGCAAACAGAAAAATGGAACAAAAAAAAACATCTTTTGTCCTTTGGCCATTGTAGAATACGTAAAAAATATGGGGGGAGTTGATCGCTTTGACCACTTCAGGAGCTCTTACTCTATAGGCCGCAAGTCAAAGAAAAGCTGGT